CAGTTTAGGGCCTGCCATGTTCCTTTCACAGTCTCTGGAGTATCAGGGTGGACCATTTGATAAATATCCCTCAGGCATGATACCCAAGTGGGCATAATCATACAAGGAAGCCCCCACCTTAGCATTAAAGTTTCCCAGTAGGATCACAACAGCTTTGGGATTTTTTATGTTTATCTCTCAGATTGTTTTTTCTAATTGCACCCTGACATCAGGGAAGAAGCCAGGAGAGGAATATGGTGGTAGGTATACATTTAGCAGCACTATTTCAGATTATTTGTATTTAAATTGGATAGCTAGAAGATAGTAGGGGGTCTTCTCTGAAGACCAGTTCCTGCCCTTGTCAGCCCAACTCTGCCTTGGCAAGTATGCATAATCCCCCTGAGGCCCACCCTTTTATCTTGAATTTACATGCTGGTATAGGCCATGACCTAAGGCCTGTTGGTGAGCATCTTCATCACCAGTGGTTAGCCATGTCTCTTGAAGTGCTATGATATCAAACTGGTAGAGAAATTCCAACAGATCTCCATATGACGTTCTGGCTATTCCATGTCAATAGCCAAATAGAACTTCCTTGTTTATTGTCAGAAGAGTAGCCGGTGATACGTTGGAGTCTGTGGTTGGATGATGTGGCTCATGCAGTCATTCTACAGGTGAGATGAGGTCCAAAATTCCTTCAGTATCTAGGAAGGCACACTGGTTGAATTTGGCCTACCTTTGCTGCTCTCTTGCTGCTGTATGGAATCAGATAAGATTTGTAATGATTTGCACATAGAATAGTGAACATTAGCAAGTTGTTGTCCCATGTCTATATCATTGACCAAAGGGGTTGTCTCAGCCCTTGGTGATGGTGTTCTTTCTGCCTCATGGGCTACCTTTGCCATGATTTCCTGTGGTTCCTGAAGCAGAGGTTTGCCTGGACAGCTGGAGAGTGTGCCAGTTATTGGATGTGTTAGGCTACAAATATCCATCTCATGTTCCTGGTGTGGCCCACCACCTGGGTCTGATTGTGATTCCCAGAGTTTTAGGCAGTTGAGATCCTCCTCTTATTGACTGATAGCATCCAGCTTTTTCTACTTTGAAATTTCTCAATGTTGTGCTGTTTTAACAGAGGACAAGGTGGAGGAGTTTGGATCTGCTCCAGGGGACTCTGTATTGATGATTTGCATATCTAGATTCCACAAATCAGGGGGAGGGGGCTGAGATGCCAACAAGTCCTCTCTCAAAGTAATTGCAGTTGCCTTTGGTAGTTGGTAAAACCAAATGAATTAGAGGTTTGGCTATTTTATGTTGCCCCTAAAGTTTCTCTCAGATCATCCAGTCTTTTAATAATGTCAGCTTGTTCCAAGTCTGACAAGGCACTGAAAGAGTTAATCAGGTTTTCTTCCAGGGGGTCATCTGTATACTGTCTTGCTGCAGGTAGCACCGATTGTTTGCCTGGCAGTCATCTCTCAGGGACAGAACTGGTAGAATATCCTTGAGGTTATCTGAAATCAAGTGGTCACATTTGTTCTTTAAAGTGACAGTACTCTCTGGGCCAGGTTGGCTTAAGAGTGGGCTGAGTTCCTCTGAATGAAATACGTGTATTGGAAAAATTGAAAAAGTATGCAAGAAAGCCTCATTTTAAAAAGCATGCTGGAGATCATGGATTGCCTGAATGTAAGTAAAATTGGCTCATGGCCTCTGCTGGATGGGAGCCATTCGGCCTTCTGTAAATTAATTAGCTGCTTTTTGCAACATAGTAGCTGGCTTAAAGATAAGATAATTTCTCTTTCTGATCCCCATTGTCCTCTGTTTATTCTGTTATTTGATATTTGTAGGGTGATTTGGTTAGGCTGTAAGTAGTATTTGCGATTGGAATGCCTCTCCCTTTGTTACATGACCACTAACCACTTGTTTCTCACCCTTCTCCACAAGAATGGTCAGCTGTCTCTGATCATTACTCTCCCTCTTCCTGGTGTAAGGGTAAGGTTGCCCACAACTTCCCTGCTAACTGCTTCTATGGCACACTTTGTACAGGAGATCTGTGCTTTAGCAACATTATCATTTGACTGGTTTTCAATAAGCTTTACAAAGACCTCCTTTAAAGGGTCCACTTTGGTTTTGACTGTGGGTAACAGCTCAAAGATAGAGAGAACAGTTTGGGCTGTTAGCAGGCTTTGGTTAGAAAGTCAGTTATATTTTCATTTTTCAAGTTTATCAGGCTTGTATTCCCACCCTCATCTTGCAAAAGCTGTGCAGATGCTGAGCAGGATCCAGCAGTGTTTTTGGAGGGGGGGGCATCCTCTTCCATAGAAGAGGAGAGATCTATAAGCTTTCGGCTTTCGATCTCTGCTTATAGATCCCACTCTACAGCATCATGTCCATTGGAGGGATTAGAGGGGATTGGATTACTTACAGGAGATGGCTGCCTGCTTGTTAGGTAACTGTTGACTTTCAGCTGTTTTGCAGGCTTGGATGCAGCTTCGGTTGCAGAATGTGTCTGGTGTTTCTTCCTTCTTTTCCCCATGGTGATTGACAATGTCCCGGACTTTTCTTTACTCTTTCTATACGTTGAGCATAAGGCTGTCATACTGAAAGCATGGGTGGAGAGGTCATTGTAAAATAAAATAGGCTGGTATTTAAAACAATAGATTAAGAAAAAAATGATAAAAAATAATCTTTGGAGGAGCTCTTTACAGCAGTTGTTGCCACATTGCCATCTAGGCTCCTCTCCAATTGTCAGTAGAATTCATGTCTTTTTTATCAAGACAGTTCTAAAAGAAGATAATTTTAAAACAGCTTAGAGAACAAGGCAAGATCTGTCTTCATATGGTGGTTGTCATGGCAAATATAAATACATAAACACTGTTTTACAATTACAAGTCACATTTCTGGACATCCCATATTCAGAACACCTACAAATGCAAGCTGTACTATTATTGTTAGTGGAGAGCATCAGCTATTAAAAATGTCTATGTATTTTTTTTTAAAATGTTTCCAGTGATCCAACTGTCAAATCAGCTCAATAAGTTATTTCCTTTTAAAGCAAACTTTTCATCATAATGGTTGCAAAGAGTCACAGGAAATAAGATTTCGATGGTAGCAGTCAGCTTATCCTCATGTAATGAATCAGATATTAATGATGACTCAAGTACTAATTACAAAAAATAAGGAGAGTGACTTGCCACAAATCAGTGCTACAATCCAACATGCATGTATCCTCAACACAATTGTAGCAAAATGAATGAGGTGTACCTTCTGTGGCAGTTTTCTGTGTCTTATCAAGAGGGAGGGAGGAAGAGGAAGAGAAGAGAATATAGTGATTTTTGTTATAAAATTACTGTGGGTGATTTCTAGTTTAGTTTTATTTTTATATCTTTACTTAATGAATTTACAGAGCTGCCCAACTCAAACAATGTAAGGTGCTTTATACTAAAAGCAAGTAATAAATAGAGAAAAAAATAAACCATGCAATATTAAAAAAAACCCAAAATGTAAAATATAAATTGGCAACCAAACACAATAGTTAAACAACCAGAAGGGAAATTCTACTCAACTGGACACAAATATCTGAGGAAAGAGTCAGGTCTTAAGGCTTTTCTAAAGCCAAGCAGAGTTGGGGCTTGTTGTATGTACTCCCTTATTTCTAAATGCCACCCACTTCAGCTAGCAAAAAGTATAGCTTGATGTTTATTTATTAAACATCAGCAAACGTCAAACTGACAAAAAGAAGTAAAAGGCAGGGAAAAGCAGGAGGGAGAGGCCGAGACATGAACAACAGCCAAGAATGTATCTATGGAAATCAAAAGGACACAGAATGTTCCAGAGCCCCTAGGAGCAATATTGCGGGTAATTAGCATGGACATTCCCAACGGGAGGTGGAAGCAGGATAGGCAGTGATCCTTCCTCCATTTAACACCACAAAGGAAACAGTTTGGTGGACAGGAACGATGTATCCAATAATTTTACGGGACTGAAAATTACACATTCACCCAAGAAAAACAGTGGGCAAAAAGCAATCCATGCAAAATAAAAATAAATGAACATCTTTGAGACTGCAGAGCTGGAAGAGGATATGTCCACTGGACTTCTACCATAGGAAGTGCTCATCACACTTCGTCTGTGTCACTATTGGTGGAGTCATCATTTGATTTTTCATAGAATATACAAAGGGAATCCCATCTTGCTCAGTTGAGTCAGAGAACTTCTCCAACTTGAGTCTTTTTCAAATACCTTGGGTAGCATTGCACTCCTTAATAAGAGCTTAGAAAGCTGTAGTAGCATAGCCCAGATCAGACAGACTAGAGACTATTGATCTGAAAACAAGACTTTTTGTTGTTTTTACTGTCATTTTTCTTTGCGGTCTATACAAAAGTAATCCTATCTCTTTTTCACTGCTCTTCACATCATTTTCTTTTTCCTTTCTTTCCCTCTCCATACACAACCTGTTAATATGTGTGTGTGTGTGTGTGTGTGTGTGTGTAACATATATAGCATGTAGTACGGTTTAAGTGTAAACTATTTTGGGTTTAAAACAGCAGTTTTAAGTGTTTTATGTTCAAAACAAAAGACCAACTACTCACCAGAAAATGGAGATATTTGAAGTGACACTTCAAATGTTATTCCATACAATTTGACTGGAATATTTTCTCAAATCTTGCCATTAGATCTTACATTTAGAAAACAATTGTTTTTCTTCCTGGGTTAGTATGGTCGTGTCTCTTCTGTCACTAGCTTAGGCTGGGTGGGCTACATAGAATGCTTGCTTGTTTATTGGGGGGATTTAATTCTTCCAGTTATATGTTATAGGTGTACTGATGTAGTCACCATTTTTCTGCTTGCTACATACTCATGGACCAGCCTTCTCCTAGAATTCAGGCTGGTGACAGCCTTTGTAACTTTTTGAAGGGCAGTCAAGACCAGGACCTTTGAAGATTGATGTCACTTTATGCAGGTTGGCTATTACAATTGTTTTTAATTTTTTGATGGCTTATAACTGCTTTTAATTTTTTGTTTTGTAGTACTGCACTCTTGTGGGCCATGAAGGAAGTTTAATTAGTATGGACTTTTTTGCTTCAGGAAGAGTGAAACAATTCCCAGGTACTTGTAGCATTTGACTTGTTTGGTTGTTTTCTTATCTATATGCCAATTATGTTAGAAAATATGGTAACTTTTGTTTTCTGGTAGTTTATTATCACTACTCCTCCTTGCAATGCTGCTCCAGAGGCCAAGAATTCACCTGAGACCAAAAAGGGTTAATGACAGGAATGCAGTATTGTCTGCATAAAGTATGATTGATAGCCCTTTGTTTGGGGCAGGTAAGTGTAGCTCTTGCAGATATTTGACCACAGAATTTATATAAATGTTAAACAAGAGAGGATACAACCATAGCTCATTCCCTTCATAGCTGAAACTGACAGCTGCCCTACATAATTGCAACTGACTAGTTTAGATATTACAGGTAGTCCTTGGTTAATGACTGGAATTGTGACTGGAATTTCCATCACTAAGCAATGCAGTCGTAAAGTGCGACATCACGTGACTACATCACTTAGTGATGGCAAACCCAGCAGTCCCTGTTGCTGTCATTAAGCAAGGATCGAGGGTTGTTAAGCAAGGACCCCCTCACAACTTCCTGCCCACTTCCAACAACCAAAGTCAATGGGGAAGCCAGCAGGAAGTTGCAAGTCCAAGGTGGCTTACAAGCAGGTTGGCAGGCAGGTGGTGGGTGCTGCTAGGTGGGGAAGTTTTTGCAGGTGGCTGGTGTGGTGCAAGAGTGGGGGTGGCTGCTGCCAGGTTGGGGAGACTTACCAGAATGATTTGCAACCTTTCCTGCCACCTTCCCTATTGACTTTGCTTGTGGCAGAGGTCACAAATGGCGATCATGTGACTTCAGGACACTGCAACCATTGTAAGTGCAGCCAGTTGCCAAGTGCCCAGATCATGATCATGTAACTGTGGGGTGCTGGGACGGACAGAACTTCAAGGACCGGCCACAAGTACCACTTGTTCAGTGCCGTCATAACTTCGAATGATCACTGAATGAGTGGTTATTAAGTTTTTTAAATCTTATCTCATAAAAACTTTCTGGATATTAAATCAAAGACCTCTTCAAAATCTACAAAAGCTACATACAGGGGCGTATTGGTGCCCTATGTGTCTATATCTTCTAAGTGCTTGAACAGTGATCTATTATCAATGTTCCTTCCCTGAAACCAGCTTGCTCATCTTGTAAAATGTGCTCATTCTACCCTGTTACAGAGCTTCCAGCATAAATGTCTTGCAATAATTTGCTGATTGTATCCAGAGTCTGATGGCCTGCAACTTGCCAACTTGCTTCTATCTCTTTTTTCAAAAATTGAGATAACTATTGCAAAACACCAGTTTTCTGAGATGTGCGCTGTTTTACCAATATGAGCAAGTTGGGATGCAAGAAGCAGGGCTCACTAATCACCATTAGCCCTAATTAGTTCTGCTGGGATAGAATGCAACATCTGAATAATATTCACACTGGGTGGAAATCCCAGTGGCTCATCTGGGTTTGTATAGATAAACTCCATCGTTTGTGTCCTGTAAGAGATGGTGGTAAATTTTTGTTTACTTAGGGTAAATTCACATGTTTAACTAAATTCTTCTCATTAACAACAACAACGACAACAAAACTACTCTGAGGATAGGCCACATGCCCATTGGAATGTTCTTATGGATATTCTGGCCTGTGCACACTGAAGGTTTTAATGAGTCACATATCTATTCCAGGCATTCTTACAGGACTTAGACTGTTTTCCCGTTAGTGACTTACAGTGTACATCTAGTTTTTTTTTATTTTTTTATCCGTATTCAATTGCTACCGATTCTGCGGTGACTGCCTGGACGAGTCCCTGCAGTTTTCAAGGCAAGGTGTTTTGG